GTTATAAGAAACATTTGTAACTTTAAAGAAGGACATAAAAATAAGGATATAAAATACTTTATTTCGATGCTAAATTTGTAAATATGACACAATACTTAAAATAAATTTTATTTGGGACTTATTCCTGTCAAACTAAAATGTATGCTTTGAATTGTATGTAATGAGTTAATTACATTACAGTAATCTTGTAAGTATCGAGTTATTACAAGTACAAGAATACTAACTCTTCTTTTTTTGTACAGTTTAAAACTTTAAGCAATTATATTGATTAATGATCATATATAATATCTGAGTTTAACATAGTTTCTAATGTATAAATTGCTGACAATAACTATCTCTACCTGAATAAAAAATCAGATAATACTTAACGTCTAAAAAACGTGTTCAAAACTATTTAATTGTTAAATCTATAATTTATTAAGTTTAAAATTAAGATTTAAATTTTTCAAAATTAAAAAAAATTAATAACAAATTATTTAGATTTTCAGTTGTAAATATTTATGTGATATAATTAATTTTGTGCATTTAATATAAAATAATACAGTGCAATGTAATTAATTTAAATTGTAATAATACAAAATAAAGTTTGTAAATAATAGATACATTTACAAAATCATTTGTCATAGTGAGCAGAAATACTCAGAGATCTTTGTAAAGTTTCTATCGTCACAAATAACTCATGATTTATGTAAATATATAGAATAAGAACAAATCTTGAAATCGCTGAAACGTCTTTTGATGTTTTAACAATGAAAATGATATCTTAACTAATTACTAGAACGAATACGTATGGAATTCGTTGGTTTCGAATGTTACTTGTACAATTTATTTTCCTGAAAATTTTACACATTGTACTCATGAGTTATTTTTAATTACACCCCCTACTTACTTAATTATATTATACAGAATGCTTAATTTATTGTTGATCACTAAATTTCTTCAAAAATAATAATAATAATTTTAAGAATTAATTGTTTTGGCTTATTTTAGTAATATTTATTTCTCAAATTTAAATGATTTAATTTACAGTAAATTGCAAACAATTGTGGAACATAAACATTCATCGAACAATACCTAATATTGGCCATTTATCTAATAGAGCAATAGAATCCGTTTGATAAACGTATACATTCGACAAACGAACGATTCAAAAATAGGCCCCCTGATCAATATTACCCTAGATACTGTTTAAACTGATTTAAAATACTATTTTAATAATTAATAACAATTATTTATCAGATTGATATTGAAATTTAAATTAAAATAAATGTTCAATGTTTAAATAGATTGAGGTAAGGAAAGGTAAGTTGACGAATAGAAAAATATAAGGAATTTAATATTTCTCAAAATCAATCACAAATAGCAACACATTATTATTAAATTTAAAGCTTCTTGAGGTATACTTAATTATTTACTGATACTAACACACGTGGGCGTACGTTAATTTTAGTTCTGGTTAAAAATTCATATTCAATGTGTTTTGAAGTAATTTTTGAACAATAATTTAGGAATAAATAACTAGAATAAATTTTTCGATCTTCTCTCTCGAGTATTCTAAATGTAATACCAGTGCTCGAATTGGGGGGGGGGGGCGCAGGGGGACGTAGCTTCTCTACTTTTTTTAAAATTTTTTTGCGCACCCCAACTACTTTTTTTTATTGGGACGGGAGGACGGTGGAAAATACCACCTCTTTTTTTTTTTTTAAATATTAGTATGATAATGAAATATGATTTATTAATAAATACTAAATAAAGTAATGAGTAAAAAAAAAAAAAAATGTCTTCAAAATACTAGGGACGCAGTTTTCAAATTGTTAAGTTGAGCTCCCCTACTTATTTTTGGCCAATTCGAGCACTGTGTAATACTTATTAGTATTACTTCGTAAGACACCCATTTCTTTAATAATAGTTTTGGTTATAGGTTTAACTATCGTTTTACCCTATAGTCGGGGAAAAATGAAAAAAATAATAGAAAATAAACATAAATTTTTATAAAATATATATTTTATCTCTTAGATTGAAAGAAAAATATGTATTAGGCAAGATGTTCATTCAAGTACTACTACAAATTTCAGAATGGTCAAAAGTTAGAAAAAATCATAAAAACCTAAACTAGTAATGTTACGCCACCATACTCTATTTTATATTAAACATAATATAATTTCTTTTTTTCAGAAGTTAATACTATCCTATGATTGTATATACAACTCCCAGAAATGTGTCGGGTAGGTGATAACAGGACCTAGGTAATATAATTTTTAGCTGTATTAATTATTTAATTAAAAAATATATGAATACAGATACTTGTGCCAGTTATTATTTAATTGTATTAGTATACAAATTGTTTTTGGTAATTTGTTAAGGGATAGTAATACTTATCAGATTAGCATTTATTTTCTATGAATTATATCATTAAAAAAAATAAAAACTTGTTATACATCCAAAAGATCATAATTACTTTTATATTAAACTCTCACTTATTATTTATTTGATTAAGCTGTACTACACACAAAAAGTCAATGCGGGAATAATTCTATTTAAAGAAAATTATTAAAATACGACAGATGTTTAATTATAAATATCGGTGATATTATTTTTAAATACAAAGCAGATAAATATGTGTTTATTAATACTTCTTCGAATTATATTTAGTACAAAAACATTACAATAATAGTTATTTTAATAATTTTTTAAGTATTTTCATTAAAACTTGTAAAATTTAGTTTTTTATTATTTTATGTAATTTTATACACTTTAGATACGACTTAAAAAGGAACAATAGATCAATTAGATAAGTTATTAAAGTATCTGGGATGGAAAAATTTAAATGATGTATACTATATAAAATATCTGATTAAAAATATTACCTTCAAAATCTGATACACTTACACTATCTTTTAAAGTATATCAAAAGATACGAGTCTTGACTGTATATTTTGAATGCACTTATGTAAAAGTTATAGTTAATCTTTTTTCAGTTATAAACAATGTCTTAATAAATGGAAGCATTTATAGTGAAGAACTCATAAACATAATATCTTTAAATTTAAAGCGTCAATGGTACGCTTTAGATTTATTACATCATACTGTTGTAATAGGTTCTATACATAAAAACACTATTTTTTTCTCTTCTCTTTCATCTATCAACACACACAAAGATATTATTTTATTACACAATATTTTTCACAACAAATACAAAACACAATCAATATTTTATATAATATATAATCACATATTATATATATATATATGGCTGTGATTATATATAATATAATGTGCCAAGCACATTTTTGACACGATCACGTCATACGCATCCGCTCTTTTCACTGCACGTGCACCCATCAACAATCAAATGTTACTATTTATTATTCTCAGTTAAAGAACTCTTTTTTTTTTCACTGTATAAAATGCCTAAAAAAATGTGAAGCAATATGAAAATTAATTATATTGTTTTATTACCAATAACTGTTTGGCTTTGCGTTTCTATCATCATTCTACAAACCTTATCTGCTCGCCTAAATAATAACCAAAAACCCAGGTAAGAATATTCAAACTTAGTCTGTAAATTGATACTGATAAGTATAGACCGTCGTACAACACACCCCGAGTGAAACACCAAGGATAATTCTTCATATTCAATACTCTTTTCACTATATAGTATTGAAATACTCCACCTTTCCCCTATATTTTTGGTTTATGACAATATACCATGGGCTACTTTTAGAAAAAACTATAAGTATCACTACATGATAAGTCCTTTATTATAGTGTATAGAAAATATTCTTGACAAATTGAATGATCCAGGTATATCATATAATAATATATCTACAAACTTTTGTACATATGATATTGTATATTTATTTTTTGAAGGCATAATAAAAAATTTACAATCTGAAACTGAGCTATTTTGTGAATTTGTACCATATAATACGAATGAGTTATAGAATAAATAGGTTTAAGAATATAATGCTAATATTGACCAAGGCATAAAGTTAATATTTTTCAAATTTTTAACCAGAAAAATTAATGATTATATCAAGACAGTAATTATAGAAAAGTATTTTCAACTGAGATTTAAATTTGATCCAATCACCGAAGAAACGTTAGTACCAACATCGGAGGAGCTAATTGAACTAGGTATTAAAAATAAAAAAATTATAATAAAAAATATCTTAATTCATATTTTATATATAATAATAGTCCTATACTTTTTTTATAAATCTAGAATTAGAATTTAAAGCTCCAGGTGAAGAATCCCCAACGCTAATACAAATAGAAACTAATTAAATGTTGTAATAAAATAATTTTTGTTCTATAATTAATTACAATTTATATTATTACTTTGTAAATCTATAAACTATTATTAAAATGAAAACATAACATGATTTGATTATTTTTGAAAAAGTTATGATAGTTTTAACTATAAAAAAGTAAAAAAATATTTAAAAATCGTAATTTTTGGGGGGATTTGCCCCATTTAGAAGGAACGAAGGACATTTTTTCAATTTTTAAAGGCTGTGTCTTCAACTAAATATAATTTGTAATCTTTTGACGTATCGTTAAAAGAAAAGTAGGGTAAGAGCTGAAAAAAAGTGGTGACAGACATGAAAAAAAGAACGCATCACAGTAAAGTCAATACCTTCTCAGCTTCGCATCGAAGCAAAAATAAAAATTTGTTATACACCCAAAAGATCAAATTTATTTTTATAATATATTAAACTCTCACTTATCATTTATTTGATTAACTTGTATGGTAATTTTTATGTATTATACACGAAAAGTCAACGCGGCATTAATTCTATTTAAAGAAAATTATTATAAGACCTCAGATGTTTATTAATAAATGTTGCTGTTATAATTTATAAATGCAGAACATAATAAATACGTGTCTTTTAAAACTTCGTCAAATTATATTTTGTATAATAAATATCGATAATAATTATTTTTTAAATGTTTTCATTAAATTTTATTAAGTTTAGTTTTTTATTATTTTATGTGATTTTACATACAAAAGCATATACGACTTCAAAAAAAACAATAGATCAATTAGATAAGTTATTAAAGTATCCGGGATGGAAAAATTCAAATGATGTATACTCTATAAAATATCGCAGTAAAAAATTTTATTTTGAAAATCTGATTAAAATACCTACAAATTGCTCTATAGGTAGTCAAAAGATACGAGCCTTATCTATATATCTTGGATGCACATATGCAAAAGTTATGGTTAATCTTTTTACAGTTATCAACAATGCCTTAATAAATGGAAGCATTTATATCGAAGAACTCTTATATATAATAGCTCTATTAATTGTTCCAATTGCAACATTTATAAAAGGTGCCGTGGACGCTTTAGATTTATTACAGGAAAAACCATGGGATACTTTTAAAGGTATGTGTAAATATATCTACATGACGAGTCCTTTATCAAAGAAAGTAGGAAATATCTTTGACAAATTAAATGATCTAATTCTATCATATGATTATAAATCTACAAACTTTTGCTCATTTGGTATTGTATATTCATTTTCTAAAAGCATAATAAACAATTTACAATATGAAACTGAGCCATTTTGTGAATTTGTACCTTATGATAAAAATGAGTTATGGAATAAATGGATTCAAGAATATAATGCTATTATTAACCAAGGCGTAAAATTAATATTTTTCACATTTTTAACCAAAAAAATTAAAGATTATATCAAGATCGTAATTATAGAAAAGTATTTTAAACTGGGATTTAAATTTGATCCACTCACCGAAGAAACGTTTGTACCAACACCGGAGGAGCTAATTGAACTAGGTATTTAGAATAAAAAATGCTAATTAAAGCTATCTTAATTAATGTTAATAATAGTCTTATAAATTTTTTGATAAATCTAGAATTGGAATTTAAAGCAATATATGAAGAACCTCCAATGTCAAAACAAATATAAAATCATTAAATATTGTAATAATATAAATTTTATACTACATTTATATTATATAATTAATTCCAATTTATTTTATTACTTTTTAAATTTATAAATTATTATTACAACATAAAAATGAATGGTGAATCATACAATTATTTATTGATTTTACATGGAAAAGTTTAATACGATATATATATATATATATTAACATTTATAAAAATTTTAAATACAAGAAGTTTAATACTTGAGAATCTTGGTCAAAACAGTGAATCGGAAGCGCTACCTGATGTCTGCCCAAATATTGTCCCTATCTCCTTAAATGAGTTTTATTTACTTGAAGGGGACACAGGCAATCGTGTACCTTAGTTACAAGAGATAGATTATATGATAAAGTTAGATTGTTGTTTTATGTCAACGACAAAGTAAAGTCATATTTTAGATGTTCAGTAAATATACGTTATATGCAGTGCTCGAATTGGCCAAAAATAATTAGAGCTCAACTTAACAATTTGAAAACTGCGTCCCTAGCATTTTGAAGACCTTTTTTTTTTTTTTTACTCATTACTTTATTTAGTATTTATTAATAAATTATATTTCATTATCATACTACTATTTAAAAAAAAAAAAAAAGTGGTGGTATTTTACACCGTCCTCATAAAAAAAAGTAGAGAAGCTACGTCCCCCTGCGCACCCCCCCAATTCGAGCACGGTTATATGTAATGTACAATACGTCTGACCTGAACTCTAGTACAGTTGGTTAGTAGGTATATCCAAGTGAGATGCAGTTGATTATCTATGATGACAATTGGCGATAGACGAGTGTTGAATAAAACTAGTTAAGTTATTAATAATATAAATAAGACGAAGGTAATAGCATTAAAAACTATGTCTATAAGGGCTACTCAAACACAACTGCCCTTTGTTAGCTCGACGTCAGTAGCTCCGAGCTACAGACGAATAAAATTGTCGCATCAACATCTTCCTCTATGCTAAATAATATGTATTACGAATTCAGTAAATGAAAATTAAAAGCGTATAATATAAGTGGTGACAACATAATAATAAGTGTTCTTACATTGTAAGAATTCCTCAAAATTATTTTTATACAATTAAATCAACAATGGTATAAAGTAAGTTAAATGTTAACATATTGCAGTACAATTTATAGATTAAATATTTGAGGTAGTTTGAAAATCTATTAACTTTAAATACAAATAAATTATATGATTTAAATGACAGTATTGTACAAAACTTAAAAAATACTAATATTTGAATTTAGTATTATATTTATGTTACCAGTATATAGTTTTACGATTAATTAGAAACATTTTATTCTTGCTTAAACAATCATAGAATTTTTGTTTTCATATTCAAAAAGTCAAATAAAAAGGAGTGTAGCATAGTTGGTACAAATATAGATGATTAAAAAAATGTTTTAATGCGAAACTATTAATTTTTTGTTCAAATAGTACATTTTAAAGTCATAAATTTTATTTAAAAAATATCGCCGGGACGTTTATTCTTTTTTCATAATTTAGTACATTTTAAAAGCTATAATTTGATATAAGATAGAAGAAAGCAGACGTACCAGAACATTTTTAATAAAATAATTTTTTGTAAAAATTATGACATTTTACTTTGATAACTAATTTCTTATAATAGAACAATCGTAACAAAATTTTTCTTTTTTTAATATTGTAGTTTACTTTAAATGCATTAATTTTATATAGGTTAAACATTTTCAGACATTCTAATACATTATAATACTTGAATTTAAAAAAAATTGTTTTTCTACATTTTAGCCATAATAAATAAAACTGAATTAAAATCGGGTTCTTTTGACACATATAGACCAACAAAATATATTGAGATTTTAAAAAGTTTAGAAAATATTAGTTTTACTATGATGTGTTTTTTTTATTTCTGTCTATGAAGTGTCCATGTCTGTTCACTTCAAAAGCTTTAATTTGATAAAATTTAAAAGTTGTTAATCGTGTCGGAACATTTTCAATAATTGAATAGAAAAAAATGATTTGAAATGCGTGGGTGACCGCTTTAAACCCTTTTTGTACTTAGGTTTTTCTTTGAATTTTCATAAAAAAAATACCAAAAAAAAATTATTATCTTTAGTTTATTTGGTTAAAATTTTATTAGTATCAATATTTATATAAAGTTATTGCCGTTTTAAAATACAAAAAAATAATGTTGAAAATTCTATTTTTTTAAATATTTAAAATTGTTGGAATTTTTTTAAATTTTAGGTGTTTATAGAGTTCACTGAATTAAAAATGTTTTTTTTTTAATGCATTAACCAATAAAGTCGAAAGAGAAAAAGCTGAGAATTTTTGTGAACAAATATAAAAAAAAATACATCATAGTAAAACCAATGTCTTCTTAGCTTTATCATCAAAGCTAAAATGTGATTAGTACATGTCAATTTAATAATACACAAGTAAGGTATAAATTTTATAAGTTGCTGGCTTGTTAAAAAAAAATGTTGAAAAGAGAGCCGTTTAAAAACTAATCAATTTATACAGCACTCAAAGAAAACATTTTGCTAAAATAAAAACGTTTCTCGGAACAATTTGTTGATAAATCTAATAATAAACTAAACACAAAGTGACTCATTGTTATTTCTTAAATTTAATTTCTTATTGGCTTAATTAATTTTTTGTATAAAATATTGCACATTATTGAGCAAAATCAAACTATGTTCACTAAATTCATTTTTATACCAATGCAGCAAACTTCATGAAGAAAATCTCCTCGATTTTATTATTTCTGCAATATTTTAATATAAAATATTGAATATTATCCAATTTTTTATGCTGTCAAATACTTATTGGATTAATAACGTTCATTGCATTAGTGGTCTAGAACTTTTTTGTTTCTCGATCTTGCGGTTAAAGAATCACCAAATAAAAAAAATCACATCTAGAGACACCACATCATTGTGACAAGTCTGCACATAGCCGATGATGCAAATTATTAGTATCATTTTTTGAAATCTCAAACACTGCTGATTACATTTAATACTTTAAATAGTTTCAATATATTGAGGATCTAGAAATAAATAAACATAACCGAAATTGGAAGTTTTCGATTAATAGTCTATTACAACCATTATATTGGTTATAATAATAATAATATATTATTATTATAAAATATATTATTTTGTATTTTATACATTGCAATATATAAAATAATTTTAGAGTAAAAATGATGCGTCATTAATTATATTGGAAGACATATTTTTTTTAAAAGAAATATAATTTTTCTCATCAGCTTAAATGGAAAATTAAAATTTAGTTTCGCTCTATTAAAAAGTGAGAAATTGATTGATAAGTCTCTTTAATCCTACACCTGTAATAATATACACATTATATCATTATTGTTACAATGTAATATTTAACATTTTAATTAATAAATCAAATGATATAACATGTATTAAAATATAACAATAAGCTACATATATAATTTTGAATGTTTAAAAATATTCTAAATTCATTTTGTATAAAAAACATATATTAATTATATAAAAAAAAACAGAAAATAATAAACAATATGTAATAGTATTGAGTTTTACATAAAGTAATAAATAATGTGTAAAATATTATGAAACAAACGGTAGAACATTATGAAATGTTGATCATTATTGACAAAAATGTAATAAATTACAGCAAAACGATTAATAAGAAATAATGGTAGCATCGGTGATCACTTCTTGCCTTTAAAAATACCATCAAACTAAATATAAAAAGTCCAAAATAATGAGCATTCTAGCCCAGATGTTACTCAGATGGTAGTCAGAATGCTCTCACTTCACTCACTTGACCAGTCTCACTCACTTAGTCGTTTTCAAATCACACTTCGTTTTGAACTCATCAAAAATACTCGAAAAAAATGATCCACCACGTTCATATTGCAATTTCGTAAGAAAAAGTAACGTTTATATATTTTACAATGTTTATTGGAAACATCAAAATAAGAAAATATTAATTTTCAAAAATATAAAATATTTAGAACTAAGTTTTATGACTATATAGTTTAAGTAGGGATAACAAAAAATCAAGTGATTATCAATAATAAAAAATATAAGTAAATTTAATAAATCAATATTGTTTGTACGGATTTAGTTGAAAGAATTATATCATTGATACGTGTCTATTTCAAGAGTTAAGTAGGAGTTTCATATAGAGCCACCATACTAATCTGAGTAGACACACCAGGTAATTCAACCCAACTAGCATTTATAACTGTCAATACTCGTAGCATTATTGATACTAAAGAGGGTGACAATTAATTACAGATAATTTAATTTTAATAAATAAATATCATTTCATTACTCTATCATATTTTTTATTTTTCTAACCAACCCTCGTACTTATACCCCGATAAATAATATCAAAACATCAAGATAGTAACTCCACAACCCACCTCATTATTTTTATTTTCTTTCATTTTAAATTTCTACAACCCCTCGATTTTTGTATGAGAAAAATTAATTTTTTCTTACAGTATAATATATTTAATGACTTCAATATTTTAAAAAATATTTGATTTTTTAATCCTCACAGATCGAATACTCTATTTGTTTTTATTTTCATCAATAATAACTTCAATTTTATTTGATTAACTTTCACATATTTAGCGCTTAATGATATATTATTACGGACTAACCACCCGTCCAAGAGTATAAATGATTAAGAAACCTCCTTCTTTGGGGGGGGCCCTAAATGGTTTAATAAAAGGCGTATATAAAAAAATGATATTTATTATCTATTTAATACCTTAAATTCCTTACTTACCCGAAAAAAGCTTTTTTCCAAATAAGTAAAAACAAGGTTACATTTATTAAAATTCTTTTACAATTAAAGTAACTAATCAAGTGATTTGGTAAACTACAGTATAAATTCTATAGGGTTTTTTTTATAGTTTTACACTTCACTTAACATCATAGTACTTATGATTGACTGAAGATTTACATATAATGTTGGCAAAGGACACACAATAAGTATTTTAAGTTACTCCACTAAAAAATTTAGTTACATATATTACACAATATTTCGTATTATTCAACTATAAATA